GGGGCTTCATAAAAGCAGGAAATGATCAGTGCGTTTCTCAGAGAAGGGACAGAGCGGTGTGGAATAAAGGTAAATTATGTTGAAAATAATGTTTTTTTTTAAAACTAAGCATTAACACATGTTAGATTGCACCCCATAAACACAATCATGCCTAGAAAAAAACCAGTGAACCACCCCTTTAAACTAAATGAAGGACATCAAATGAACAGCAGCTTCTTGCTTATCGTGCCCAATAGCATGATCTATTTAGGTCCACATGTCACACTTAAAGAAACTATGCTTCTAACCACAGGTCAAGGGCTGTAGCTCCAACCACACAAGTTTGCTATGTGGTTTGCGAATGTTCGTTGGAACTATGGCCGAATTGTTCAACTATGTTGGTAATGACAGAAGTCAAGACCGTAGTTGTCTAACAATGCTTTGGGAAACCAATCCAAAGATGACCATTCCTGCAGAGTTTAGCTCCAACACACCTGCCTCTAGAAGTTTCTAGTGATCCTGAAGACCTTGATTAGACGGTTCAGATGTGTTTAATTAGGGCTGGAGCTAAATTCTGCCGGAAAGTGGCCCTCTGGGAACAAGATTGGACATCACTATGGATGGTGACATTTGCCTTTGCACGCATAACTAATTGCATTGAAAATATATATATATTTTCAATGGTATTTACTTCCCTTTAGCAAGTCCCATTTTTACCGCTATTGAATTTTTGCAATTCTCTATAATGTTTCTGTTTTGGTGATGTTTGAAATCACACTTTGAATCAGAGAAGTCACATGACCTTTCCCATTCAAACTTACAGTACTAAAGCCGAAAAGCACCACAGATTACACATAAATTCACCAGACTTAATACTACACCAACCGTACCAGTAATTACCACTGTATTCACCTTCCTTGTTCTATGACATAACCAATTCCTTCTACCTGATTATATGATCTATTCACCCCATTCACAATAACCAGTTTGTGCTCATATCAGTGGCTAAGGACTCTTCAGTGCCCTTGAATCTCCTTTTGGCTCTTTGGTTTACAGATCACCACTTTTAGTGCACTAAACTGGATAAACACAAAAACACACACATACATGTCCCACCTGATTCTCCTGAGGTTTCAGTACATTCTGACAGCAGTTTAATCAGCCTTCAGCATGTGAGTTTGAGCTCTGTTTTTCTCGCTCTTTATATTCCTGTTCGCTCTGAAATTCACCTGATGGTAATATGAGCACGCAGGCGCGAGCTGTGTGAAGCAGGGGTCCTTTATCCCAGTGGGCTAACATACAAAACCATGTGCTCGGCTGCCTATCGAAGGGTGAACAGGGAAGGCGAGTGTAAGCATGACGCAGTAAGCCCTCTCCCTCCCTCCCTCTCTCTCTCTCTCTCTCTCTGTCTCTCTCTCT